GAGCTTTCTCAAAGAATTCCATCTGTTTAATATGTTCTAAAAAGCAAATTGTAAGGTTTTTTTTTTCTAAATGAGGGCATTCGTATTACTTCGATTGTTTTATCTGCCACTGTTTTATTGTCGTGTTCATTCCTTTACTGATGCTGCTGACAACTTCACTCTACAGTCCGATGCATATCAAATCCAAGAAATTTGACAGATGCACTCGAGTAGATTCTTTTAACTTATTAAATGCATTTCTGGCATCAATTTTTCACTGTTTTGGTAGCATTTGACAAACCGTTTTTCCATCTCTATGATAAAATATAACAAGTAGCGACTCAAAACACAGAGTCGTTGCAGTTTTTGCAGTGAGCTGTCATGGATACGCAATTAATTACGGCATGACCTGCTTTTGGTGAGCGCAATGCATGGGATGCAACAAAGCTCATAACTTCCTCTATTTTGACTTATGAGCACATATTTGGGTGCTCGTCACAGAATTTAAGCGTCCCATCTTTGTAGGCTTGTCAGCTTTAAGCCTAGTAGTTCCGTCTTAAAATTATAAAATTTGCTTGTGTTCAGAGCTGAGAGTCTGAGCTTCAATTTCTAGTAAAACGAATTTTGGGACATTTTTTAAATTTGAACTTCCTAGACTGCTTGGTTCTAAAGCTGAATTATGCAGGTGCACATGCATGACATCCATAATATGATTAATTTGCGTACCAAGTTTGTCGCATAAAGATATTTAATTCATAACGTTCTTGTTTTTCGCAGTATAAAATTGGCAATTTTAAAAATCTAGGCAAAAAAAAAATACATTTTTTAACATTATTTGTAATGAGGGTGGGCGAGTAAGTGGCAAGTACCACTGTTGCCATGCAAGTAAGTTGAGAATTCGATTCTGCTGGTGGGACAACCGATTCCTCTACGATTTGTTTATTTGCTCCGGTGGCAAACGATAGTGGCATATAATGAAGAGTCAAACCCGCCATCGGCTTGCTTGTGAGAACCTTTGAAAGAGTAAGCCATCAACAGCTTTGCGGGCGAGTGGTTGTTGACATTTGTTATCATTCGGGCTACTTCCTCTCACACAATACGGAGAGGGAATCTGACTTTTGATTTATTACTGCACTAAGACGAACCAGAGGCAAGCAGCCCAATGTTAAGAGGTTTGGTAAACCTCCATTAAGAGTACGGTTTTATTTAAGCAAAATCCACGTCGGTGTAAAGATAGCTTAGGCAGCAAGGGTGGTAGCTGACTATCTTTGTTTTGGAAGGCTATCCTCAGCCAGTGACCCTTCCCCCTACAGGGTTGCCGTGGGCAACGGTGTGTTTATTTGCGGTGAAATGTTCGCTTATGGTGTCTGAATGAGCAAAGTGTGTGCTGCGTCTAGTACGCGCCATGGCTTCCATATTTGGCCGTTTGCTATTTTCTGATGATATCCACAAGCGGTTGAAACAATTTCAGGACGAGGTTCGTTTATTTCATTTTGGGAGCAGATCAGGCAGAGAGAAGTACCCTCAGTTCTGCCTTTTTGCAAAATGCAAAAAAGATGGAGCAAAGACCAACGTTAAAAATTGATTCCTTTCTTTTTTTCGTCATCCTTTGAATAAGACCTCTTTAGGTAGCATTCCTGAGACGAAAACCACAGATACATATACACATACACAGGCATACAAGTTTAACAACATTATTAAAAAGTTCTTTTAGCACGCAGTCAAAGTCATCACTTGCTACCATTTCGGTTAGCTATTTGCTTCACATCACTCTTTTTCTTCATTTCCTCTGTTTTAACTCATTTAACTTGTTGTACTTTGCAGCCCAAATTTGTAACCACCGAAGGTTTCTTTGAAAGGACTGAATGGTCTGACAGTGGGAAACCTCGTCAAAGTATTTGATGAGAACAAACACGCACTTGACCTTGATACTCTCATGCATTTGTTACAAACATTTCCACACGACAGCTTTACCGATAAAAGTTTCTAGACCACCTCTGTTGATCAAGGAAATCATGTTCTGAATCGTACCTGCTACGAATCCGTTTTTTTCATAAAAAAGGTGACAAAGTTTGACGAAAAAACTCTCTTGATAAATTTGGGCGAGTTGGTAGCTATGGATCGGCAATTCTAATCAAACCGCCATCTTAGCAGAACGGTGTTCAGCTTAATGAACGCATATGTTCGCGATGCTACAAAAAAAATCACATCAATTATTTCGTGATTAAAAATACAGAGCACGATTATTGAAGGTGCAAAAACTCGCACGGCAAAAGGAAATGGTACTGAAGGGCTCGTTGGATGGGCACTATTTTCAACGCCGCTGCTTGGATCTGAAGAAACAGTTGGCTAATTACACGCGTAAATTGGATGGAATGAATAAGAATGTGGATGGATGGAATGAGAGCAAGGATGAGGTGCTTCGAAAGTTGCACGCACTTTCTGTAAGCTCCAGCTTGAAAAACTGGTTCATCAAATACACTGAAAAATATTCGCATACAATGACCACTAAAAATCGAGTCAAATACACTATTTTAAAACGTACTCGCATACAATGATCACTAATTTTGTGGTGCTTTGTCTAACCGTCACTTTAGTGTTGCGTTTCGTCCGTGCGTCGTGCAACTGTTTCCACAGTATGCTGATATTTGACGACCGATTACTGATAATCTTAGCAAAAAATTCCCACCTTTCGCTTCACTTTTTTCAGAGCGAAATCTTGTATGTATCAAAAAAATTTTAGCACTGCTTGCACAGTGCTGTAGCTCATCTCTTAGAAATTCTACTCTGTCATAACTCATGCGAGATGTCTGCAAGAATTAAACTAGACGCAGGCACCGACAAGAAATTGCCGCATTCAGGTTGACATGTAAGTAAACGGTTCTAACTGAATTTTTTTTCAAACTGCTGCAATGAGAAACTGTAGAATTTTCATGATCATAAGTTTCGATCCGAAACGCGTTTCAAAGAGGGCATTTAAAACGAATCCTTTGCACGCAGTTTATGTCGAAGATTTATTATTTCTGTGGTAGCAATAACGATTTCTTTTTTAAAAAATGACAGTTTCTGAATATTGCGAAAAAAAGCATGGGGGAGCTAGTGCTTATCCTGACACGTCTTTTAAAATCTCGATACCGAGAATACGAAGGTCATTTGGGCCGTCAGTACAGACAATCCATGTTAGTGATGTTACTGAGATGCTCCTACACGCTGAAGTAGCTGCCCTGACCCAAAGATCCTGAACTGCGTGGCTCAAGTTAATAACTACCGTCTGTTCGATACATGCACATATGTATACAGAAATTTCGACTGTTATTAAAAACTGCGGTTTTTTGATTTTTTCATTTCACCCCAATTTTGTTACTGAAATATTAAACATTAATTAAAAAGAAAAGTTTTTCATCAGCCTACCCTTCCTATTAAATCTGTTGGAAATGCTCTTCCTTCTAATTAGTTTTATCGCATTTCTCAGAAGTACCCTTATACCCTTACAAACCAAATCAATCTACTGATCACAAAAATCGCTTTTAGGAAGAACTGGCAATTTTGTCGAATCAAGCAAGAGAAGCCAACAAACCAGTCAGTGCAGTGGCACCAGAAACAGATAGGTACTCTTTCACTATTTTGAGAGATCGCGTACAAACAAAAAAGCTGGAACAAAGAAATCCCGGCAACCGTTTTAAAGGAACGAAGATGAAGTGGAATCGTCTGAGCATTACACGGTACAGGAGCGAGAAATGGCTGAGCATTCGGTGCCGGAATCACACTCAAATGCAAATAACGGCTCAGAACATCCAGCGGATGAAGGACAACAAGCGGTAGAGAATACAGACATGAGGTACAATTTTACAAGTGTTATTTAATCCATTAAATATTCTAATTCATCAAAAAGCTGTCAGTGCAGGAAATCTGATGTACGAAAAGGAGTGGCAGTAGAAGACAAATGGTTCGTTGCTGTGGCTGATTTTGAAGCGCAGGAAAGCAGCGATTTAAGCATAAAGCAGGGAGAACAACTGATAATCATTGCTACGAGGTACGTCATCATTAAAGAAAAATTGAATAATTAATAGCTAAACAAAAATGTATGACGAGCCAAAATTATAAACAATAGCAAGCTAAGGAAACAAAGAGGAATGAGGGCCTTGCGCACGGTGCACATTGTTCAGGTGTTATTAAAGAATACCAAGACCGCCCCGTGTTACTGGGATGTTCAACACGATGACCACATTTTTGCCAAGCTTTTCAATACTGAGCTCTGTATTTCCAGTTGGTATCTCACCGTGTGCACCACCTCTTTAAACGCTGCTTGAGAAGTTCTTTATCTCCTCGCAATACCGACATTCACTTGTTTTGTTCAGGGGGGATTACCCGCATTATCTGTAAGATTTGATTTCCTTTTGTGGACACAATGATATCCCGTACGCCGTGTAGCTCAAAGAGGTTGTTACTAAAAAAAAAGGAAACAACAACGATCTCCATAAGATAAACGTTGCGCAGGACAATCCCTTGCAAGAATGCAAACGATTAATGCTTACTTGCAAACAATTACTGCAAAAACGCCGGCCATCCGATGTACACGCGAATTTTTTCTGCAAAACAACCAAACAGTGAGACTGCAATGAGATATTTGAGGCAGACATGAATTGATATCTGGCGACTGCAGCAACCCCCATCTGACCACTGAAACTGCACATCGCATTCAAATCTGTAAGTCGTGTACATTTCAAATAATTGGCCAATGCACCGGCTGCTTGTGCGAAGACGCGTTTTTTGCACAGTTCCCCGCAGTTTTTGTTGCTGCCGGCACCGGTTTTTCCGGCAAATGCTTCTAGCTAAACAAATCTGACTGGCGGCCAGAACTAACAGGAAACACCCCCTTAAAATTTCAGCTTTCTAGCTTTCTTGGCTCGTGACTTACTCGAAAAAATTTTCGCGGACCCCTACGTAGCACCACGCATACCCAATGTCTGGGTTTGAGCTCGTTGAGTCTTACGTGGACGAGGAACATTCCCCTAGAATTACAGCCTTCTAGCTTTTCAAGTACTCGAGTTAGCAATTTATCCGAAAAAAATTCTGGCAGAGCTGTACGTAGGTATCATGAGGGTAAGAGCGCCCGTTTCGAGATGGGGGCCCGTACGCGTATCTAGATTAAGTTCCCCAAGTTTTAGCCCCGTAGCTTTTGTGGGTCTCGAGATGAAAAATCGGTACAGACGCGCAGCGCACCCACAGACGCAAACATAAAGACAATCGTCCATATGAGTTTTCTACATTACATAGTTGCAAAAGACGCATAATCAAACCACATCGTGAATCGTGCTGTTGAAATTGTGCAGTACATATTCGGTCGGACACCTTAATCACAGTTAAGGACACAGTCCTTCACATCTAAAACTGTTTGGAAACGGCCTTGAATTTAAGAAAGCTTTAACTCCGAAAACAAATTTGTAGTCGCAAACTTTAGCTTGAGCATCTACTGGTATCTGTGTTAAAATTGGTTAGCCAGTTGCACTGATTTATTTGCAGGGAAGATGGCTGGTGGTTAGCGCAAAATGAGCATGGGATTCGGGGGTACGTTCCGAAAACGTTTTTAAAAGCCTGTAAAGCGCCTGAAGGAACTAAGGAAGATAAAACGAGAAAAAGAATGAATGAACCTGTACCAACGCCTCGCAAAAGAACTACAACTGAAGTTAAAAGCCGAGCATCAGCAAGAAGTGAAAATGGTGCAGCTGCAAAGCAAAGGACAGCAACAGATTTCGGAGAAAAAGCGAAAATAAGTGAAAAAACTAGCAATATGTCAATGCCCGTTGCAAAACAAAAGGAAAGGACTGAGACAATGATTCTGGAAGAGTCAATATCTGAAAATACCGAAGATTCAGAAGCAGAAAGTGATAAATTAAAAGCCAGTGCGTCGAAGGTAAAATCGTCGGGGAGTTCTATTCCTCAGGTAAATTAACATTATTTTAAACAAACTTGATCCTATCCCTTCCACAGCGATGCTTTTTTTCAGAAAAAAATAAAAATTTAATAGCTTTCATAAGAGTCGCTCCAGTAAATGTCATCAAGGAATGTAAGTGCCAAGCAGTTTTAGTTCTTTCAGGCATCAAGAAGTTCAAGCTGCGTTACCGTGTTGGCTGGTAGTCAGAATGGTAAGGATTCTTATAAATTATAATGATAACTGAGAAAAATGAGAAAATTATAGAGTTTGGCTTAAATCCAGCATGCGCTAGGATTTCCAATATTAGAACAATGCATGCATTTGCTGCTTGAATGATAACAGCTTTAAACGTTTTTCGTTGTTAATAAGGCCATTGATAGCCCTCACTGTCGCGAAAACTGGACTTTCATGACATTTTATTTATGACCGAGAATAGTTTAGCTCAAAGCTCCTCCATATGTACCATATGTAGTTTCTTTGAAATAATTGATGTTATGATGATAATATATCGGATGCGTTCAAATGAAGTTTCAAGCGCGCAAGGGTATTCCAGATGTTTTTTTTAGAGGGTGAACGCATCCCAGAAGTCAGTTTATGAGTCCATCGCCTACCTGTAAAACTCC